TACAGAAATAAATAATCTTCATTCTAGATCAAATCAGATAGTTGGCAAATAATGCATGCCCAAAGCACAAATATTATTTAATATAAATTAAATACACATAGTAATTATTGAAAAAATATAGGATGTAATACGAAGTAGGGTTTCCTCTTCATTCCATGCTATTTTTATCTCCTTTTTTATTTGTTCACAATTGCGTATTTATGGCATTATAGCTCCATGCCTAAATCCAAATGGCCTGATAAATATCACTTTCTTAATCTTTACCTCCACTTGCTGTATCCCTACATTACGATAGACAAGTAAATTGTTCAAAAAAATAAGACCAGTTTGGTTTCAGTGATTCAAATGTATACAAATGAAAAATGAAGTTGAGGATCTATAGTTAATGGAGGATACTACCGAATTTGGATCAAATTTAGGCTTGTTATTTCTATAACAGACAAATTATAGGTGAACACTATAAAAAATTAAAGTTATTTAGTATCTGATAATATGGAACTTAAATTTTAATCTTAACATACTCAAGGGCTGGATGGAATAAGATAGACTCATGGACACATACATGAATAACACCCTAGGAAGTTTTTGAAGCATTATTTGCTAGTTCGAATACGCAAAATTCTTCTGGATAGACAGAAAACAATTTTAGTGAGGTTTGAAGAATCGCTTAGTCGATTGATATTGGCATACTTTTCATTTCGTTTAAAAAGTTGGGTGTAAAAGGTGCGTGAATTGGAATAACCGGATACCGAATGAAGAGTTTTTTGTATTTGTGACTATTGAATCGTGTGAAGAAGATCTTGACTCCTCATCCTTCGAGCCCGAGGAATCCTTGCTGAGCTTTCGTCTGTCGTGTGACGGACATGTTCAGAGCCGGAAACCAGCATTTACAAACAATCCTCCATAAACACGAAGTCTTACTCGGTTCAGTGTCTAGCCTTAATTACACGCCTAGCATCACATAGTATATTTATAGGCTATTCTCGTTCTAAGGTGAGACTTTTTACTTTTTCAACCCACAGAAGTAAACAAGTTAAGCGGTAATCACGATTTAATATTTTCCATATAAAGCAAATATAAATTCATTTTTATTCCAAATTCCTATTTTAGCATATATTCGAAGAATTATAAAATGTGTTTTGAGGTTGGTAATCCCTCTTCGTGCAGCCACCTCCGCAGGAAATCTTGTTTTCCTCAACTGATTGTTACCTACTTGCTCAGACCAGTGTAAACTTTTCTATAGCCCGCTTTGTATTGTCACTTCTAATAAAATCACACATCAAAAAGGCAGCATTCTGAAGCCAGTCAGTGTTAAGGACTCAACTCCTGCATCAAGGCATCTGGCTTGACTACGGATCGCTTATATCAGGTCAAAACTGCTGTTGAAATGAGGCAATATCGCAGAAGTCTTCGAGACTCAACATCTCTTCATGTCTTTACTTTAATTAGCTCCAACTACCGGTTTTGATATAATATTATTTGTCTCAGATTTTCCTTTCACTTGAACTGCAAACGGGAGGATTCGCCATGAAAACAGGCGTATCTTACGTCACCTACCGGCTAATCATTTCGCGTCATCGCAAGGTGGCAACGGCAACAGAATAATTGGCAAGCCTTGCGCATGAGGACGACCGCCCAAAATGGCGTGACTATAAACTGATGATATTTTTACCAAATCGGCTCATTTCGTCGACTATACACCCTCCCCATTCTCTCGGGCATAGAATACTTCTATTTTAAGCGTCACTTTCCACTGGGGCCAATTGTGAACCCCTTCCCTCCAATTGTTCATATGAAATGAAAGGTCCAGTGACATATTTCAGATCAGGTCATTGCATCACGTGATTGACAATTTTAAGCTAATAACTCTGTCCCTTATGACGACCAACAATGAAGGATCTTACTCACTAACCCTATCTGGCCAGGCCATTCATATAGGTACGCACTCACAGGCCCTAAAACCCAAACTGACACATTTATGAAAAATTATATACATATATATAAATAAATAAATAAATAAATTTATATATATATATATATATATATATATTTAGTAGCGTGTATATTCTAGCCATGCGGATGCATTTCTAAGCTCATCGTGGGCCAACTGATCTGTGAGGGCAGACCATAAGCCAGAGCAGACAGGCTGTGTACACAAACATAGCCTGTTCTCTTTGTCTCGCTATCCACTGAATGCCGGTCAGTGGCTTGTCAGCAGACTTGACCCCGACTGGGCTGATGCTGTATTTCGTCAGAAAAATGTCGGCTTGATCTCAAGCCTAAGCGTGGGCACGTGGCTAAAACATTGCCACTGGCCGCTAGGTTCAGCACAGACCAATCGGATGATTGGCCAACCAGAAAGTCGGATTCAATCGAGATAGGTCGAGCCGACAGGTGGTACAAGCTGCTGGGGTCGTGGTAGCCTTGTTCTAGCCAAGTCGCATGTGTTGATGATGGCCAGGCTAGAATTATGCTGAAGTAGCTAATCATCTGGTTTTGGATGCTAAATTTAAGGCAGTTGGCCAAAGCGATTTTTTATTCCAATCAAGTAGGATTTCGAGGCAAAATGCTCCTGATCATTACGACTTCAATTATCCTGCTGACTGCTTATGAGGACAGCAGGAAAAGGCACAAGGGTCCGCTTATGGCAGAATAAAACAGCAAATCAAAAGGAATCACTAAAGTACCACAGCAGCAAAGATGGGAGACTTGAGGACTGAAGCTTTAGTTTCAACACATCTATTCAGTTCAGCTGATGACGGCAAACAGGCCTAGCTACTAGACAAATCGGTAACTTTTATATTTCGCTTATAAGTAGTTTTTTTCGAGACTACAAGTAGATTATATACATGAAGCGCATTCATCCTATTTTGAGTAAGGCGATAAAGGGACTGGTAGTTGAATTTGCCCACAATCACGTCAGTAGACCTTTTGTTCCCATTTTACTTGGTCTTGCTTAATTTCACAAGGTATTCTCATCTAAGCAGAATAGGGTCGCAGGTTCGAGCTCACCCCCAGCAGGACTCGTGGCAATGCGGCTTGGTAGTTGACGTGTCGGGAGTATACGCTTCCCAGTCATGGTTTGAGTCCTGCTGCAAGTACCGATAATGCAGGTGCTAGGCGAGGCCGAAAGTACAGTCTACTCCTGTCTGGGTGGACAAAGCGAAGCTGTAAGGTCCAATCATATAATTGTGGAAAAATTCAACTGCAAATCCCTTTATCATCTTAAACGAAATAGGGTGAATACACCTCATAACTTGGTAGTTTGTCTCATTTGCATCGAGTTGAGTGAAAATCCAACTGTAAAGATAAGTCAAATCACCTAATGCTAAAATGAATACCAAAAAAACAATGCAAGCCTTCATAAAGTGTTCTGCGAAGCTTAGATGAAGGGCAACCATCTTACCCTGCAGCTTTGTGACAGCCTCATAAT